CGTAATGCTTAGCCGAGTCGAGTGATATCTTCTTGCTTGTGAAAAGCTCAACTTGAGTGTTGACCTCAGGTCAAGATCAGATCAAAGCCGCTGAAGTCTCGCAGTTGGTCGAGGGAGGTCATGTAGCATATCTTCCTTTACCCTCGCCCGTATTGGTGTTTTGCCAGCCGCGAACGCATAGGGGGTGGAGGATCTGTTGGGCCCCCTTTGCCGTTTGGCCTCTGATCGAGCTAGAGCTTCGCGAAAAAAAAAATGAGCGTATTGCCCGCGACGAAAGGAAGCCGATGATACCCAATTTTAAGGTCCTAGGTCATTGGTTGACCTTCCAGGTCGGGTCAATGGCCCAAAAGTCGGGAAAATCGGGACCTGTTAGAACGTCGTAAGTGTGGCTGCTACGGGGTTTTCGGGGTGCTGATCACGAATACCTATCATGTTACTTTTGATCACAGATGGTGTTTTGATGCATTTAGGCCAGGCTGGGTCAGGTCAGGGCAACCAGTAGGGATCCTGCCGGGTATTCGTAGTATGTACTTACATTGTACCTGTCAACTACCACTGTCTGCTTCGTAACATGTTACGAAGGTACCAAAACTACTTCGTAAATGTTCAAATGGCTGCTAAATTCAAATTCGTCTCCAAAAACTAGCCTAGCAACATGTAAAACTCGAAAAAGTGAACTGAGGTCATTAAAGGTCAGTGACCTGACCTGACCTTTAGGTGACCTTGACACCCACCCTAATGCATGGGACAAAAGCATATCACGTGTTTGAACGCTTGAAACCACGAGTCGAAAAGACTGCTACCGCGCGGCTAACCCGAGCCGACATACGCCGAATCGCGATTCCGGCCAAACATGGTCTCGACTTCGAGACATAGGTCACAGGTCAAAAGTCATTTGGGTCAGGGTCATGAAATTTTCAGGTAGGTGTAAAATTGATTAACGCGAGGTTACTGAAAGTTTCGTCGCATTCGGCCCCTTTTTACGCGAGTTATTCGTGAAACACCGAGGGGTTCCGTTCGACCCCTCCCCTATACGGGCGAGGGTTTTTTTTTTCAGCTAGCGATGGTGCCCAAATCGTAGCTCAACAACTATTTTTTTAGCGCAGTTATTAGTCACTAACTAGACCCCTGGGCCCTGTTAGGTTCTTTGATCTGACCTCAGAGGTCATCGGTGACTTGGGTACCAGTCGAATTAGCTGTGTTTTGGTACGGCGTACATCGTTTTTACTTTTTATACGCTCAGCTCAAAGTCAATCGGGGATGAAACGGCGAAGACGGTCGTGTAGCTTATGGAGATGTTGAGATAGGCGTTGATGGCTGTGCTTAAACAGCCCAGATCAGGACGTAACTGGAAAGTCCAAGACCACACCGTTGCGGGTTAATTTTGTTTTTCAAAGATTACAACCACTTTTGCGTACAACTTGCGCGCCGCGCAATTTTTTAAAATGTCACGGATTATGAATATCAGTTGCGTGCTTGCCAACGTATGGAAGTTCCTCAATACAAGTGTTTTCCCACGGCCATCCTCAGACCGCACCATAACTCCCAAGGTCCTGTAGTCTTTCCTTATGAAGCGCCGCGGATGTCGTTGACTCTTTGACAGCCAATGCATCGGTCAATATTTCACCCAATTTTATTTGCTGCAGTTTATTTGTCGTTACTCGGAAGGGTGATGACAGTGACCTAATTGTCGAACGGGCGATGCTTCCTGTCGCCGGTAGCTGCAGCAAGACCGGGTTTTTGCTGACTGCTGCTGCGGCTCGGACGGTACATACAAGGCTACCCCGCCCCACACCGGCCGTCCGTACACGGAACTGGCACTTCCTCGTGCAGTGCTCAGTGCAGGCGGGTGCATTCGGTTCGATTGAGGGATTACATTGTGCGGTTATCGATGAATTATTTGTCCCGGTTAATATTTAGATTGTGCGAACAGATCTCCCGCACTGCTTCCGTCGCAGGTATATAAATGTGCATTTATTCAAAATATTTTACGGAATACTCACTTAACCCGCGCCCCACTGGGGTCTGCGTATAACACGCCCTAGGTACTGGGGGGGGGGGGCTCTCCATAGCCCCCCCCCCTCCTAACTCCGAAACTACTGGGCCGATCGTCAAAATTCAAACGGCGTCTGATAGCCCCGGAAAAACTGTCGAGCGAAACCTTATTTCATTGACTTCGACGTCACCGATGACGTCACAGGTCAGGTCAAAGTAAAAATTATTAGCATTTCGGCTTGTTCACATTTTGTGCTCTGGCCGCCGTCTTAAAAGTAAGATCAGGCTCATTTTTGGTTTACACACTCGTGAATAGATGCTCTAGATACCTTGAGAGTACCAAACTTGTACTTTGATTTTCAGGTCAGGGTCAGGTCATCACAGGTCACGGAAATATTATATCATGCGTCGGTCACGTGACACATGTTTTATGGTCCATTTAGGCCATAGATTTCGAATTTGATGTCGTCTGTGTCATTCGAGGTCATTTTGAGTCGAATTTAGCTTAGATCAGGTCACTTTCAGATCAAAAAAGGTCAAATTTTGGAGTTTAAATTTTTCAACAAAAAAGGTGTCTATTGCAAGCAGTTTGAGCTCCGGAATGCGATGGTGCTATTTATATTGGTGTGCGATGTCAAATACGTACCTACTGAAAAATTGATTTAAAAACTTAATAATTGTGAATTTTTTTTGCAATAATGCGTATAACTTGGCCATTTTTGAAGATATTTAGCTAAAACTTGCTAGAATTAGTCATAAGCATGCGTTCTGTCACATATATTCCGGTTTTTTTCGAAAAGTCAAAAACTTTTTGAAAAAATATAAAAATATAAATTTTGAATATTATTATAAAAGATTTTCGAAATTTTCAAAATTTTGAAAATCCGAGATAGCAGTTTGATAGCGCAGTTAATTCTGAGTCCTCTCATGCAAAGAAATTGGATCTAGCTTAAAAACTGAGCTATTGGGAGCGATTGCCGTGGTTCAATGTTTTGCGTCGAAATCGGCCGAACATCACATCTTTCTGACGTCATTTCCGGGCGACCTATGGTAGCTGCGAAGTTCAAATTTTAACACAAGGTGTCAAATTGATGCAGCTGAAGGTACTGAAAGTTTGGCGTCGATAGGTCAAGTGGGTTGGAAGTTATTGCAGAAAAACGGGAGGGGGCTATGAATAGCCCCCCCCCCCGTGGGGTGCGGGTTAAGTGGAGTGGTTTATTTTATTGGATATGAATGAATGGCACATAGATCGAGACGCACTGATATAACTAGCTGGGAGGTTATGCGATAACTCACGGGCGAATAGTGGACAGCACTATTTACATGCTATACTTTGTACGTTTAACGTAGAACCGTTCAACCGTGCCATGCTCTGTGAATGTGGTACTAAACAGGCGAAATGTGAAATAATCGTTCGGTCTAATTTGTCATGCCGAGCCGCAAGCTTAGGTATGTACCTATATTATAACATTGTTATGAGACATTTTATAATAGAAGGTTACCTACTCATTGTTGATCTATGTATAGGTGCTGAGCCTAAATATATTGCATTTCAATCCGTTCCGTTTATGCATTTCTGAGCTACTCGTGAAAATCATTACCTGAAGGAGTTGCATCGACTCCCCTTTGCCGGTGAGGATTAACTGTAACTTATTTTCTAGCAATAGAATCAATGAAATTAAAAAAAGGAAACCCACCACGGAAGTCGTCTGCTCCTCATTGTATAAACAATTCATTGCCTAGACACATGGCGTAAGGAAATGAGCTTGTCTTCATTCTGTGGAATGTGGAATTGTCAAATGACAGCGATTCGCCGTCACACCACATAACAATTCAGAAGAAGCCGTTCTGTTTCGATGTACCGACACCACCGTTTCTGTATGCGTGTGGGCTCTTAAAACAGGCACAAATGGCTAGCGTGCATAAGTAATTTTTACGTATACACGGACAGGTAGTAAACGTGTTGAACATGAATTACCGTTGAAAATGACAGCTATGCCGGATATTTTCCTTCGCTGACGCGCTCACCATTCAGGACTGCGGGAGGCTAGGAGCTCTGGGAACTGACGCCTCATTTCCTGCTCTGCCGCTCGGGTGGACCACCGTGCGGATCCAGTCGTAACTCGCAGGCCGTCCGAAAAATGCGACTTCACAGACGGACAGCCCTGAGCGACTTCGATCCATACCTTCCCAGTTCTCAGAGCCATTTTCCGCAGCGATTCTTGCGAGCGAACGGCGGTTATAGTACCGAACACGAAGTGAAGTAGCTAGCCCGTTACGGCAGTTGGCACTGACCGTTTCAAAACGATAAATACATGGTTTTGCATACTATGCCCCGGCTTCGGACCCTCCAGTCTCGCTTTTTTTGCCATGGACGCATGGAGATGGCTACCAGTTTCTTGAAATTGCTACGCATGGCGCTAATACACAAGCAGACTGACCGTAAAATTAGATACCTATAACCGCGATGAAACTTCAGAGCAGACTGTTAAATGTTCATCTATTCTATCATCAATGTTCATCGCGGAAAATGGTAATAAACGTTATCTCGATGTAATCTTTCCCATGCAACAGTTACGGGGAGAACCTACCTATAAGAGTCATTAATTATAGTTCTACAGTTAAGCGTGCAGCCGGGATAGAATTTAACACGTCACTAGCGATATATGAGGCAGGATACAACGCTACTTATTTCGGGGCCTGACACAGCACCCTTCTGTCTTGCGATGTAATTGCATTCGGGACAGAGCTATGTTGCGACTGGCTACCGAGCGTGCCTACCCGTATGCCTATGAAGTCAGTACGACTCCCGGCTGGTCCTCGTCTGTACCGGACTGAGCTTGCGGTAAGGCTCCCGGTCGGGTCGCTTCTGTGTGTCTGTGTACGATGTCTACTGTGACTCGACCGCCGGTCGGCCGCGGTCTCCGCGGCGACCCGGCTGACCTCGCTCGTGCCACGGCCATCGCCGCACTCCCGAGACGTCTGCCGGCGCGCGCATAAAAGAAGCCACCGCGTATCAGAAGAGCAGAGTCGGCATCCGTTCTCATCATGAAGACCTTTGTGAGTAGCTCTCTGGGATCTCACTGCTGCTGAACCGGTGTGGCCTCATAACCGCTTCATATGTCTGGAGATGGACGGTTCACCACGGTAATCCCAGAGCGTATGTGACGCATAACAGTTTGACACCGTCCATCAAATCATTCACGATGCTCAGCAATCCATTACTGGCTTTATCTCACCAACATATTGCTGGTTTCCGGTAGCAATATCTTACTGAGTGTGAATTTATTTCGTTTGACCTCGGTATATCTCTGCTGCCAGATTGTGCTGGCTGTGGCAGTGGTCGCTGTGAGTGGTGACGGGGCGGCCGCTGCCCCTTCCGGAGCCGGCGGAGCTCACGGAGCAGGGTGAGTGCAAGAGGTCCCCGGTACCTTACGGTCGCCGAACTACATAGGGTCTGTTCCAGTCGCACTTCCTAACACCTCTCAACTCCTCCTAGATTGTTTCCCTGTTCCAGTGGCAGCTATAGCCCCTACAAAGCCAAGGAGGGCCGTGCTCCAACCTCCTCTATCTACAGGGTGTCCGGATAGTTCTGGCGCTTTTCAACATTTTCTAAAACAAATGCCATTGGTTCATAGATACTAATCAATGGATCAAAACAATGACCAGGGACACCAAGCCACATGCTTCCGCTACGTGCTCATTCAATGTAACCATCGCCGGCGCCGACGACGGCCTCGACGTAGGGGAGGAAGCGTCTGCGGGTTTTGACGATGCGGGGCATTTCCAGGTCCTCCCATGCTGTCATGATGCGAGTCTTCAGCGACTCCAGGTTGGGGTGAGAAATGGCCTAGATCCTGTTCTACAAAACGCGTAGCACGCCGTAGTCGAGCGGGTCAGGTTAGGAGAATAAGGCGGCCTGATCTCATTTCGCCACGGTGATCTGGCCCGGCAAGCTCCTCTGTCAGTTTAGCTTGAATGGCAGCGGCGTTGTTGGAGGGTGCTCTGTGCTGTTGAAATGCGAAGTGACCCGTAGGGCATGTCGTCTTGACCCTCGGGTTGATGTGGCTGTCCAGGAACCCCTCGTGGGCCAGCCTGTTATTCATTTATTCGACATTGACGAAGATGATGGGACATTTTTGTCCATCAGACCCCCGCACTTTCTTCGATTGCCGCGCTGAAATGCTGCTCCGTTCCCATATCGCGTTCGAAACGGTCTGAGGATATTTTCTAAGGAATTCCCGAGTCGAAATAAACCTTTACCTGCTAAACCATTCATCGAAAAACGCCGCATCGCGCTGCAGCTCGAGCCTCGTTCAAGTCGCACCCGGCCGCCGCGCGCAGGCATTCAGCGACAAGGCGCATCTTCGCCCATCTACCCATCACTGAAAACGATTTCAAGGTCATATTTACACGACCTCTGGCTGAGCAATCAACGAGGGGTCATGTCTGTGATGATTGGCTGAATGTCCAATAATCACAGCGCGCGTTACACGGCGTCCAAAAGAAGCGCCAGGACTTTCCGGACACCCTGTATTGCTCTTGGAGGAGTTTAGAGGTGTTAGGAAGTGCGACTGGAACAGACCCATAGTTAAAGAGACCCTGGGGCTGAACGAGAAGTCCCCAACCGTGGAACCGTGTAAAACGAGCTTACATTTCGCATCCGACCACAACACTCCGCCCGTAAAAAAGTTATGTCATTGCGCCTGTCGTTAGTCTCATTATACCATATAGTTCGATGTGAACTGCACAATGCTCCTGTTTTGACAGATACGAGACTCCGGTGCGCACTTACGTCAAGAAGGAGCCCTACGTGGTGGAACAGCGCGTGCCCTACACTGTCGTCAGGAAGGTCCCCGTCTACAAGCCCGTCTACAAAACCGTGTATAAAGAAGTGCCTCAGCCGTACGAGGTCATCAAGCACGTGCCTATCGTGAAGCACGTGCCGATCATCAAGCACGTGCCGGTGGTGAAGCACCACACGGTGCTGAAGCCGGTGCCCGTGGTCAAACACCACACTCGCGTGCAGAAAATTCCCGTCAGCGTGCCCATCTACGTGCAGGAGAAGCACGGGTACGGCGAGTACGGCCACGGCGGAGGGTACGGGTACGGATCGTATTAGGGCCGTATGAGACTGACAGTGTGCGGGTGCGCAGGCCGGCAACAGGGTCTCTGCAGGTGTGCTGTGCACAACGCCGAATGGCCAGGGTATGTCGCTGTACCGTTCTATCGTCCATCGACAGTGTAAAAGACACTTCCCGATACTGTTCGACTGTTCGAAATGGCCTAGTTGTATGCTGTTGTAACCGGTATGCATGGTGCGGTGTGGAACTTTACGCTGACTGAGTCAGTGAATGGTGGGAAGCTGATGGCTGTATTTTTTCAGCCACCTTTACCTATTTATTGAAATAAACTGTTACAAATCAAGTACCCTATTTCATGTTTTGAAGAGTTGACGTCGCCCATGCTCGGCTCGGCATGCCTTTATAATACATCGATGGTATTTATGGAACATATTTTCAAACGGCCTTTCTTGGTTTATCGTATAATCTGAGCTTTGCGACTTTATGGCGATGAATTTGCGAATTGCGATGTTTATTTTTAAGTGAATATATGTTGGGAAACTAAATTTAGACAATAATTTATACAAAAAAGCTTAGGTATGTAGACAAACGCTATAACTCCACAGTAGCCCACCTTACCCCGTAAATAAATGCTCATCCGAATTATACCGGCTGAACGAAACTGCTCATCCGAATAACTGTTCAGATGTGTACAATTTCATCTGGACATACGGATCGGCTGATAATGCCTATTGGTTTGATCTCTTCTCTGGTTATAACATTGACCTGGGGCTAGTGTCCGTGAACTTCTTCAGGCCAAATTCATGCAATCAGCGCGCAGTAGGTGATTAATGATAAAAACGCGATGATGATGCATACAAATCGATTTCATACACGAATTGCATATGATGGTATTTACTATTTACGGACAATTTATATGGTGTTGCCCTCTCGACAGGAACGAAGATTTAGGAGAAGTAGGTATGTAAGTGAATGCGTAAAAAAACGGCACCTTCCTCGACCCTAGGACGTGCAGGCACTGCCCCACTCCAGCAGAAACTGCTGTGAACTTTGATGGAGACATGCTAGAGCGATGACAATTACTGAATGTGTTTAGCTTAACGATACGGGTCGACTAATATGCGACATGCCCTTTCCGATCAGGTCATGACCTTGACCTTAGTCCAATTTTCAAGCCGAACGATGCTCTAGCTTTATTAGCTCAATTTAGGGTGACCGGTTTTGCAAAAAGTTTCAAAAAGTTTTGCTCCCCAGGTCTAATCTAACGTATTTGGGGGTGCTGATCACGAATCCGGCGGAAAAAATATAAAATTCGAATTTTTTTTGACCGCCCCGGCTCTTTGATTATTTCCGGTTTTCTCAATTTTTGCATGTTTTTGAATAATATGATGAATGTAATGAAAAAATATTAAAAATGTATCGCTAAATGCATGTACCAGTCGATTCGGCACACAGCGGCGTCGAAATCGGCACGCCGCCTGCTTCACCGGCCTCGCAGGAAAGCATAAGGCTCGGAAGGTTTGCGTTAGTTACCCGATTCTCTCCATAGATGGCGCTGGCGTAGCCGCCCGCCGGCCGGTCGTTGCCGTGCCGTTCACAGCCCCGGCGGTCACTTGCGACCGTCGTGGTCGTTATGCTACGTCTATCAAAGCACGACAGAAATGTTCACTTCATTTGTATGTTACTTCAGACATATTTTAGACCTAATGTGGAATTGGATAAATGACTATCGTGAATTGGCGAAATGGTGGAGTGCGCTCGGGAGCCATTTACAATAGCGAGGAACGTAGGTGGATTGATCTGAGTAACATATGACTCTGCGTTCACTGTTGATATGAAGTTTATTCACACTATGTAGTATGTAGTCGGGTGACATGAGAACAAAGTGACTAACATACCTTGTGTACGACACATGGATGAAGCTAATGCTACTTTTTCATTTTGTTTCGGTAGGCCCGTTTGTTCAGAGCGTAGCCGTCCTGTCGGTCTGCGCCTGTTACAGCTGTGACTGATTCGGTGGTCAGCTTTACAGCCCTTTCGGTGGATTGGGTATGGCAGGGGACCCCCGTTTTGGAGTCTGTAGAAAGTCGCGCAACTCATCCTCGCTCATGTGTCGTACACAAGGGGGCTCAATGTCTCGGCCCTCGTCAACCGCTCGCTGCACGTTAACCAGTTCCATATAGTTGTTCGCTTGAACGTTAATTTCCGGCAGCCGGAAGTGCCGCATGGGCTGCTGCTGTGGCGGTGGGGGTGGCAGCTTTGGCGGCGGTCGTGGCGGCGGTGCCGGCGGCGGTGGTGGTGGTGGTGGTGGTGATGGCCGCCGCCGTTTCAGACGCCGCTGCTGCTGTTGTGGCGGCGGCGGCGGCGGCGGTGGCGGTGGTGGTGGTGGCGATGGCCGCCGCCTCTGTCGCCGCTGCTTCTGCTGTGGCGGGGGCGGAAACGGCGGCTGCTCCTGTCGCTGCCTTTTTTGACGAATGCTCTGGATTATTAATCCAGAGCATTCGTTTTGGATTATTAATTCGTTTTGCATTCGTTTTGGAGCATTCGTTTTGGAGCATTCGTTCCAGAGCATTCGTTTTGGATTATTAATCCAGAGCATTCGTCAAAAAAGGCAGCGACAGGAGCAGCCGCCGTTCCCGCCCCCGCCACAGCAGAAGCAGCGGCGACAGAGGCGGCGGCCATCGCCACCACCACCACCGCCACCGCCGCCGCCGCCGCCGCCACAACAGCAGCAGCGGCGTCTGAAACGGCGGCGGCCATCGCCACCACCACCACCGCCACCGCCGCCGCCGCCGCCGCCACAACAGCAGCAGCGGCGTCTGAAACGGCGGCGGCCATCACCACCACCACCACCACCACCACCGCCGCCGGCACCGCCGCCACGACCGCCGCCAAAGCTGCCACCCCCACCGCCACAGCAGCAGCCCATTCGGCACTTCCGGCTGCCGGAAATTAACGTTCAAGCGAACAACTATATGGAACTGGTTAACGTGCAGCGAGCGGTTGACGAGGGCCGAGACATTGAGCCCCCTTGTGTACGACACATGAGCGAGGATGAGTTGCGCGACTTTCTACAGACTCCAAAACGGGGGTCCCCTGCCATACCCAATCCACCGAAAGGGCTGTAAAGCTGACCACCGAATCAGTCACAGCTGTAACAGGCGCAGACCGACAGGACGGCTACGCTCTGAACAAACGGGCCTACCGAAACAAAATGAAAAAGTAGCATTAGCTTCATCCATGTGTCGTACACAAGGTATGTTAGTCACTTTGTTCTCATGTCACCCGACTACATACTACATAGTGTGAATAAACTTCATATCAACAGTGAACGCAGAGTCATATGTTACTCAGATCAATCCACCTACGTTCCTCGCTATTGTAAATGGCTCCCGAGCGCACTCCACCATTTCGCCAATTCACGATAGTCATTTATCCAATTCCACATTAGGTCTAAAATATGTCTGAAGTAACATACAAATGAAGTGAACATTTCTGTCGTGCTTTGATAGACGTAGCATAACGACCACGACGGTCGCAAGTGACCGCCGGGGCTGTGAACGGCACGGCAACGACCGGCCGGCGGGCGGCTACGCCAGCGCCATCTATGGAGAGAATCGGGTAACTAACGCAAACCTTCCGAGCCTTATGCTTTCCTGCGAGGCCGGTGAAGCAGGCGGCGTGCCGATTTCGACGCCGCTGTGTGCCGAATCGACTGGTACATGCATTTAGCGATACATTTTTAATATTTTTTCATTACATTCATCATATTATTCAAAAACATGCAAAAATTGAGAAAACCGGAAATAATCAAAGAGCCGGGGCGGTCAAAAAAAATTCGAATTTTATATTTTTTCCGCCGGATTCGTGATCAGCACCCCCAAATACGTTAGATTAGACCTGGGGAGCAAAACTTTTCGAAACTTTTTGCAAAACCGGTCACCCTATTAGCTCATGCACTATATGAGCCGATTTGTCGAAGAATGTCAAACTTCGGAAATTTTTTGACCTTTGTTGACCTAGGTGGCTTGGCCTTTAACCTAAGCTAGAAATTGATTCGAATTCTTTCTTTATGGTCTTTAAGCACATTCTCCCTGTGAAAGGTTCCCTGGTGCCGAGGGCGTTGCGAAGTCGCGATACGCCTTGCGCGATACTCGTACTTTTGGGCCGTCCAGAGATTCACTTATGACTTCATAGGCAGTGACCATGGAACCGTATTCACGTCGATTATTTTCGTAAGAATTTTCTTACGCATGACCTACTTCTTAATTTTTTTTTTAATCACGTGAACTCCGTTGATAAAAACTTAAGAAGTTTCGACGTGAATACCAAATCATGTATAGGTACCTACTTACGAAAGAATATCGACTTACGAAGTCGACGTGAATACGGCCCCTGGCCCAGTCTGGATCAAAGGGCAGATATACCTACTTGTTCTCAGGTGCCATCGCGAGAAAAACCTCGGGGAGGGGGGCGTCATTAACCCCTCCTCACTCCCCACTCCTCTACCAGGGCGTGTGGCATACTGCACAAATGATTGACCCAGCATTATTTGAGGTCATATAGTGCTATCATCTGATCGCTCCAAGCACTGCTGCAGCGACCTCGGTGTGAGCCGACGGGCCGCTCCTCAGGTGGTCGCCGTCGGGCCCCGACCTTCCCAACACAACAACCATTACGGGTGTGCGACGTGCGTTCTCAGTTGTCGTGCCGCCATGCCGGCTATCGGAAGTATTCGGGTCAACCTTCCCCTCCCCGCGGCACTGAAGCTCCCGGCGTGCCCTGCCAGCCGAGCGACCCTGTCGGCCGCCGCTGCTGTGACCCGGCAGTGCACCGGCCGCCCTCGCCAGCCGGCTTCTTGCTGCCAGTGTCTGTCGATCGACTGGTTCCTGGTGGCGGGCCGTCGCGAGGCCGTCAACACACAGATGAGCCGGCTGCTATATAGCCTCCACTCGACGGCAGATAAGGGCAGATCAACCGCTGACATCGGAGAGGAACCATGATGCACACTTTGGTGAGACCAGCGGCAGGTTGATATTGGAAATACGATGGCGTTCCACCGATTCCTGAGTTGCACTTCCGAAAGCTAGGATAAAATGATTATTCAATACTGGCTAGTGGCTTACCGGAAGTAAATTATAAATTGCCTACGACTCAGTCGGCTGTTGCTTTGCTTTGAGTGAGGTGAGGAGCCACACTTGGATTCTTATTTATCCGATGGGAATGACAGCCCCACCAATCGGAGTTGGCGGGTATGCTCCTCCTTCCTGTCTCACAGGATGCCTCTCACTTTGTATCCCGTTCCCAGGTCGTACTGGTGGCTGTGGCCGCTGCGGTGGCCGCAGAGGGCGGCATCGAACAGAACGCCGGCTACGGTACCGGCGCGTACGGCAAGGAGTACGAAACGGAACACTATGGGTGAGTGAGGGCTCTGAGCTCACAAGTAACATGTAACTGAAATAGAGCTCTGTGAATGAGTTGAAACTCGTAGAAGCTCTGAAATAAAACATTGTGCGACAGTAATTGAACACATTCGTTCAATAGGAAACACACTCTAGTGTGAACCGAATGGGTGAATGGACGACACTGAGCAGTTTATTTGTTATTCAAACAAGTTCTGTTCTCACCATGGGTTCAAGCAAGTACAACCTATAAAAACTGGCGTGGCCAGTGGTCATGAAGCCGATCGCTTATCCGATAAGCGGTTAACCTTGGTTTGTTTGTTTATTCTTTATTAATTTACATCGTAGTGACCATCCACTTTCTGTTTGCAGATATCAAAAGGTGAAGACCATTGTGAAGCACGTGCCCGTTCCTGTGTACAAGAAGGTGCCGTATCCCGTGCTGAAGGAGGTGCAGGTCGTCAAGCCCGTGCTGAAGACGATCGTCAAGTCGGTGCCGAAGCCGTACCCGGTCGTGCGCCACGTGCCCGTCGTTAAACACGTGCCTGTCGTGCAGCGCGTGCCCGTTGTGAAGCACGTGCCGATCGTGAAGCCGGTGCCGGTGGTGCACCACCGCTATCACGTGCAGAAGGTGCCCGTGCACATTCCCTACTACGTGCACAAGCCCAGCTACGGCTACGGCCACGGCGGTGGGTATCACTGAGCCGGCAGACCTTAGTCGATCCGGCGACCGCGGCTCACAGCCATCCCCAGCGGATAGCTGGCAGAGCTTAGCGGGTCGCGTATTTATTGATATGTCATATGTGCCATGTGACCTTATAAGTGCAAGTGTGGAGAAACATACGGAATGCGTACTCATGCAATTCTGGTTCTACGAGCCCAGAGTGAAAGGTTTATAAGCAGCGTATAGGCGATGGTCATTGTGTTAAAAAAACGAAAAAAAGCTTATTAGTTATTTACATACAAATATTTCCCCATAAATTCCGTGTTATTTCGGCGCATAAATGTGCTATGTAAAATGCAAACGATAATATATTTAACACGAATACATGAATAGAATATATTTGACAGTACGTATATTTAAATATGAGACAAATATGACGGTCTGGTGTTCATAGCTTTCCACACCTCTTGGCCCTAATTGATGAGAAAATCCTATAGTGAATCTGAATTGCTATTAATGACACTTCGCATTAAGCTCGGTAGAGGACGATTTATAACCATCTTCCCAACAGACACAGAATAACCACACGGAGTCCATCTCCGGACTGATTCAATGAGGGTGGCAGTACACCCCTGACTGGTCTAATAAAGCACCAGTCCGCCTCTGACTGACTGGCCTTATGCAGACGGCAATCCGTCCCCACACTGGCAGACTGCTACAGCGGCTGCTTCTTGGAGTAGGGCTCCAGGTCACACGCCGTGAACCCATAGTTGTCCATGTAACTCTGAAACACAGGTCATTTGATAACTATTAGCCCGCTGGCTGGGAAAGTATCGACAAGTACCGCTACAACTCTTTAATTCAGTCGCGAATTTACGGAGATATATGCGTAAATAGGCGTAAAAATAGTGCCCATGTTTGATTTGCTTACATGCTTATGACTTATCATCTAATGAAGTAATAATAGTGTGTTGGTCTTTGCTCAACCCGATAATTTAATTGGACGTTACAATCACCCGTAAGATTTTCCATATGCCATGTCGATAAAAGTTCGAGGGACTATGGACTGACCTGCTGGCCGTCAGACGCGCCGTACGCCGCCGACTTGGTGCCCACCACGGCGATATAGGGAGGCGGCGGCTGGTTGTCCCTGATGTCACCCGTGACAACCGCTACCCGGCCGCGACTGCGCTGGTGAGACCTGAACGACGCGGCAGTGGATAACGGACGGTCAGTGCCGGCTAAGGGTATATTGAGAGACGTGCCCGCGACCACAGAGCCAATTCACGCGGTAGTATGTAGGTATGTTTTCCTGGTGCGTTGTTATGTAACTAGTTACATAGTCGCTCTCGGACGGTGATGCGATCTTTACCCTCCTAACGGCGGACTTGTATCACGTTACCATAACATATTCCTCAGGCAATGTGTTCTTTATGTTGGTCCCTGTGGATTTGCGTCACGTTTCCATGGTTACCTGAGGCACTCTTTGACGGCGCAGGTGATGATGAGCGCCAGGCCGATGACAATGACGGCTGCCGACAGCAGACAGACGGCGATCCACCAGCCCCAGGGCAGCCTCCACTTACTGCCGGTCAGAGCAGAAATGAACAATACGGTGACGCATGTGTAACAGTGCTGGATAAATTTGAAAATAATAGCGAAGTAGCAAAAATAAAACGTGTTAACGTGCTGGATTCAAGTCAAAATGCTACATTTTGGGGCTTTAAGGATCAAACATCTGACCTCCGAACACAACTTTTCAATAATTGCTCAATTGGACAGAGAACCATTGTCGTAATACGTTGTCTCCGGCGCTCGCCATGCCCACCTACCGTTCCCAGCACTGGAGTCCGCCGGTCTCGCCGTAATAGAACAGCTGGCATTGGCACACGCGCTGACTGGCCGGGCAGCTGGCGTGCTCCAGCTGCCAGTTGCAGTCGGCTACTGTGGTGCAGTTGTCGCCAATACGACCACGCTCTGTGTGACAAAGTCACAGTTACAGTCAGCTACCGTGGTGCAGTTGTCGCCAATACGACCACGCTCTGTGTGACAAAGTCACAGTTACAGTCAGCTACCGTGGTGCAGTTGTCGCCAATACGACCACGCTCTGTGTGACAAAGTCACAGTTACAGTCAGCTACCGTGGTGCAGTTGTCGCCAATACGACCACGCTCTGTGTGACAAAGTCACAACTCACAGTTACAGTCGGCTACCGTAGTGCAGTTGTCACCAAGACCATCACGCTCTGTATGACAGTCAGCTACAGTCACAGTAACAGCCCGCTACAGTAGTCCAGTCGTCACCCAGCCTGCCCCGATATAACGGAGACAGTTACCGTCATAGCCAGCCTCACAGTTACAGGGCTACAGTGATAGAGTTGTCACCCAATTAGCACCGCTCTGACGGTCACAATACAGTCACAGTTACAGTCGGCTACTGTAACACTCGGCGGGTATCGCCCAGTCGATCCCATGGTCACGGTAGGTGTCAACTGGCCTTCGCAGAGTAATGACAGCTTTTTTTACTCGATCATAACATTCGTAAGTTCAGACCTAGTGAACTTGAAGACTGCTGAATCTAGTTCTGCCATAAGGTCGGTCGGTTGGTCGCACTGACCTGCACGAAGCTTGTATAAGTCCTTACCTTCCGCAGGCCGGCAGATTATTGGATCCGTCTGCCGGGCCGACTGACAGGCGGTTAGTGAGCCCTTACCTCCGGCGGGTCGGCAGATGGCCGTCAGGTAGCTCTGGCTGTCGGCGGTCTCGGTGTAGCCGGGCTGACAGCGGCAGCGGCCCACGGCAGGGTCACACGCCTGGTGGGTGTCGGCGCACTGCGAGTCGGCGCCGCACGTCTCGTTATAGTGACTCTCTGCAATGGGGCCGCTCAGTCAGGGACGGTCGGCGGGGGCACGGCCTCTCTCGACGGAAACTACCGTCGGTTAGAGATAAGCCAGTCTGTTACAACACGACTCCCATTAGGAGTCTACCGTTTAGTCTGGAAATTGCAAAATAGAGCATTTTTATCATGGCTATCTATCCGAGATTAAGCGTATCACTCATGACCCACCGTCTAATTACGTTGACTTACTGAGCAGACATGTCTGGTTGACGACCACGCTGTCCGGCTGGCAGATACACTCGCCGCCTTCACAGACCAGGTTCTGCGTGACGTCACATCCTATGTCACAGGAACAACTCTCTCTCAGGCCGACGAACGACGCTGTCGGAGCACGCAAAGGTCACCACAAGTGAAAAAGAGCCACAAACGTCAACACCGGCACAGTCACAAAAACGTGACTCTACCTATATCAGACGTAGGTCCTACGTCACTAGTCACTACCGTATCAGATACAGGGAACGATAAAGGTCTCTGGTGAGCTAGAGATAGGGATTCCCACTAAACTGCCGGAGCAGAAGCACAAACAGAGATAAATGTGAATCGCCCCATGAGTCGGCAGAATAACAGCGCCAACATATTTTATGCCGTTCGATTTTAACTAGAATCGTCAGAATGTCGAACGAACGACCTGGATCAATGGAGTAAGCGCTCTTGCTTGATCATTGTCCTTTCAACGCATGTCTTATATCTACTCGATGTCTCACGCCATTTCATCATAAAACGGATGGTGTGTTCAGCAATACACAAAACATTTGCTTAGACTAACATTCTTCACACGTTCGTCGTGCGACGTCTACATAGCCTTGATCTCTTTGCTGACCACTGACCAGCCCGTGTATCCGTGACCTACGAGTAGGCGGCACTTTTGACGGTATTTATCTATTGATTCGTCAATTAACGGCCGCTGTGCGATGGAGGTGCCGACCGTGGCTCGGTACCTTCTTATCGCCACGGTCCAGCGGAGGTCGCTCGACACGGCAGGTCAGAGTGCCAGAGCAGAGCATATAGAACAACGTCAGAGTGGCGGTCAGGGGCGCCGATAGCTGCGGAAATCCCGACCTGGCTCACCACGTATCGGAGCTCTCGACCGCCGGCCGCCCGGGCCGGTCACAGCCCAGGGAACCTCGTCACAGCCGGCCGAACGGTGACCTCACTGCTCTCCCGGTACTTAGGCCGCTGATAACTATATAAACAACACCGCAGCGAGAACACAATGTGCAATCTGCGACACACCGCGAGTGTAAATATATGCAATAATTGTTAGAGAGCGATAGCTGAACGCGTGTAGCCACGTCTGCCACAGTGAAAGAGGTCCACCCGGCAAGACCACCTTTTCCACCTCCCACGCTCGCGGCTCGAGACAGGCAAGCGACGATTCGGCTACCGGGCCGCGGCGCTACTCAACAGTCTGCCTCCCGATGTCATCGAACAGCGCCCCGCCCAATTCGCCCGTGCGGCCAAGGCTGCAGTCTGTCCGGCGATCGCGACCGCCCGACGCTGACTCATGTCAGGGGGTACCCGCAGCCGTGTGTGGCGCGCTGACTTGAATTGTCCGTATGTATATAGAGAGTGAGTGTCCAGTGATTAAATCGTTATGCCTGTGTTCTACTGCCCCTGCATGTTTTTGTTCCAACCCGTCTCAGACTCTGGACTGTAATCGCCACGCCCCGTGTGGATTGTCCATGATTGTAATACATACATACATACATACAAATTCTTCAGACTCCGACTTCAGTGTATAAGGTTGGTACCTTCTTGATGATGGATTAGAATTTATTATATTTTAGGCGATTCAAATTATAAGACAAAAACCGTCAGCCTTCCATAAAGTCTGTGTCGTCGGCATAATATGCAGGGCATTTCACAGTACATCACACTTGGGCTGTCACTCTCGTCAGTCCGATTTTTTTCTTTTTACAAAATCTGACCAAAGAAAATTGTAGACTATCGAGGTGGCGAGGGGTTGTTTCGACACTCACCCTCCCCCCCCCCTTCCTCCGATCATCCTGGATTACGTAAAGATAAAAGCGGTTAACGGCGTTCGGAAGGTCGTCAAAATCGTGAAGGAAATGCGCTCGTCACTTTTTATGGTCAGGTCACCAGAGGTCAACAATGGCTAAATTTTCCCATTGATGACTTTGTCTTTGTGGGATATTCCCGAATCCCGCTTCCATATTTTTTTCTGAGAGAGCGTTTTATGGGTCGTTTTCCCCACCACCATTGTGTAACACACACCTGACACGCGTCACGCATGCTCTAGGCGGGCGATGCGTACCTACAGAGCACTTTCTGAATATCGCGGCAGGTCGCACACCGCAAGGTACGCAGATCCCTCAAGGAACCCGATCCTCTCACCTGGGGCCTCCTTCCCGCAGCCACGCTCCTGCCCGGCAGGCTCGTCACCAGTGCACCACGCTGGTGCCGCCCAGAGCACCAGCACCAGCACCAGCAGCGGGAGCCAGCGGACGGCGCGGCTGTGCTCCATGGCGGCCGCGGCACCTGTGCGGCACACCTGTGCGCCGGACCCCTCCGTACGACCGGCCGTATCGCGCCGAACGCGTTATCATTGGCCGTGCCCCTGCAGCGCACAGCTAATGTTGGCCAGTAGTTAACAGTCTGCTAGTTTCAGCTAGATATCACAGCCTCTGCCTTTCGCATTACCCAATAGTTAGGTACGCTCGCCAATAGAAGCTACCACGAATGCTGCGGCTGCACTCTTGATCATAGGACAGAGGTTAATATAAAATCTTTCAATTTTGAACCGAAAATACGACAGACATCCTCTTTCCATACTCCAAAAGGTCATGTCACATTTATCTGCTGTAGACTATTCGGTCTACAGCAGATTAAGTCGCATTCGGAGGCTAATGCCGCGCAATATGACGACAGTGAAACGTCAACATCGGTTCACTTTTGCAATATGCAATTATATATATTTAGCCAAAATGCATCGACAAAACATCGGCATTCTGCAACCTCTCTCGGCGCCACATCAAAAAACACCCAGCTGAACGCTAATGGTCCTAGGTCTAAAACCTCGGTACGTCACTCAGTTTATAACGTCCCACCCAACACACCACGCACTCAATCCGCCACTCATCCCTTCACCAGTCATCACCGTCATCATCCCAGCCGCTGTGCTGCTTGGGTCCATCAAAGTCCTGGCGTACGTCATAGACAAAGTCGGGCTGGTCGGGACGCACCACCTGCCGGTTAAAGCGTTCGTCCATAGCGGCCTTCTTGCGGTCCAGCAGCTCCGTGGACAGCTGGTTCAGGTCCTCGTCAGGGTCGACCCGGAACTCGAGCTCCACCCGCGGCAGGATGTCCTCAACGCGTCCTCCGGACAGACCCTCCTGTCGGACACCAGGCCAATGTCAGCGCGGACATGTTACGTAAGAACGTGACATCCATAAACAGCAAAGTAATGCGGGGAGTGATTTGTGTTTTGAATCACTGGAATGAAGTATCTCACGTTAAATTTTGCAGTTTCGGTGCAAGAAAGAGCCTGTTTAGAGCGCAAAGCTGTAATTCAAGCTGCCCTTCGAGCCGCTGGTTTCAGAAAAACGTTTGCTATTTATTTTATTGGTGAAAAGTCGTAAAACGATTAGTTTATGTAGGCGCGCTTCATTGAGATCAGAAGTGTGCGGACATACATGGATATCGCCACGCCTCCTGTGGTTCCTTACAGGCTCAGCACTGACCTGCAGGACGCGTAGCATCTTGAGCAGCTTGTTCTGCGGCACGGCGTCCAGGTGCGGCCGGTGCCGCTCGCGCAGCTCCTGGGCCACGCGCGCGCAGTTGCTCGTGGCCGTCAGACTTTTGACGGGCATTTTGCGGAGCCGCAGGGCGGCACCGCTCCGCGCCGGTCGGTACACCAGCAGCAGACAGGGCGGAGATAGCCGGATACCGAGCTTCACCGGCCGGCCCGCCTCCCCCTCAGCGGTGCTCGTCATCGGAGCCGGCTGTCCGGTCAGAACGGCCCGGGAGGGGGTCACACTCCTCCAGGGCAACACTCCTTGCGCCTCAGCCAGGTAACAAAAAGCTATTAAAATCGTTAGGTGCGTAAATAGTTGCTATGGTTAGGTTCCATGTTTAAGATCAAAGTCGGGTCATCACGAGTTGAAGGATTTACACTCTCCCGATTGAAACATTTTTGGTGAAACTAACAACTACTTCGACTAAAAAAAAAAACTTTGTGGCTTGACACACCAAACAGGTATGTGATCATCCACGTCGGAATGGAAGCAGGGGCTTACTGATTCATATTATAACGATAAAAAAGTACCAGCCACTGAAACAGTAACGACACCGAATCGATCGCTGCCCACCTTACCTAAGTCTCAAGACGGGCCATCGGCAGATGTGGTCCAGTTCCGTCTTCTCTTCACTAGGGAGCACCTCCACAGGGACGTCGGACAGCGGCCACCGCCACACTCCCGCCGCTGGAAAATAATCCATCGTCCCAGGGGACTGGAGGGAGGGAGGGGGCCTAACCGCTCACCTAGCGTGCCGTGTGGGAGCCGGGATCAATAATAGGAACATGGGTGCATTTCCCAGCGTAGTGGCCGATACTGAAACCAGTGGTTCGCGGGACTGCCAGCAGGTGACAGTATAGTATGTGCCTCGGTGCAAGGAGTCCGCAATTGCATACCACTGAACTGAGTGTTCTGTAGAGGGTCCGTATCAAAGCGTCCAAAACCGCAGCACCCAAAGTACGCAACATCCAAAACCGCAGCGTCCAAAGTACGCAACGTCCAAAATACGTCCAAAATCGGGTTTATAGGGGGCATTCACAAAGTCCAAAACCGAAACATCCAAAACCGCAACGTCCAAAAACGTATCATCCAAAAAACGCAACATCCAAAGACGCAACATCCAAAGTACGTAACCTCCAAAACCACAACGTCCAAGACCACGACATCCAAGGCACGCAACATCCAAAACCAACCTAACCTAACCTAACCTAACCTAACCTAACCTAACCTACTGATTTTTGCCTATCCCTAACCCAACCAAACCTAACCTAACCTAACCTACTGATTTTTGCCTACTGGGGATAAGGAAACCCAACCTAACCTAACCTAACCTAACCTAACCTAACCTAACCTAACCTAACCTACTGATTTATGCCTACCGGGGATAAGGAAACCTAACCTAACCTAACCTAGCCTAACCTAACCTAACCTAACGGTTTTGGATGTTGCGTACTTTGGATGTTGCGTACTTTGGATGATGCGTCCTTGGATGTTGCGTTTTTGGATGATACGTTTTGGATGTTGCGGTTTTGGATGTTTCGTTTTTGGACGTTGTGAATGCTCCCTATATACCCGATTTTGGACGTATTTTGGACGTTGCGTACTTTGGACGCTGCGGTTTTGGATGTTGCGTACTTTGGATGCTGCGGTTTTGGACGCTTTGATGGTCCCCCTCTGTAGATGCATTACGATAAATAAGAGATGATTCAAGTGCAGTCATGACTATGCCCACTTCTAGACCTGATGAGCCAAAGATCGCCAGGTCAATAAGGGCCTCATTTTATTGGTACGTAATGTGTCTAACGCTCGTCGCTCGCTGGCACGGGCTATTCTGACTCAGTAGCCACCGCGCCGGTTGACAGAGGCGTTGTAATTGGAATACGTTGGGCATAATTGTGTGGGCCTCCTTCTGTGAAGAGCAATACGATCATTTTATTTCAAAGTTCTGCGCTCAGTATAGATGCCGCCGACGAGAGTGGGCCGCACTGCACTGCATGACCTTCCCCACCCAACCCCCCTGCCCGTGCCGTCGAAGGATGCAGACTGATCTCGCAGGTCAGGACGGTCAGGTCAATGAACTGTGTCAACGGGTCCGTATCAAAGCGTCCAAAACCGCAGCGTCCAAAGTACGCAACATCCAAAACCGCAGCGTCCAAAGTACGCAACGTCCAAAATACGTCCAAAATCGGGTTTATAGGGGGCATTCACAAAGTCCAAAGCCGAAACATCCAAAACCGCAACGTCCAAAAACGTATCATCCAAAAAACGTAACATCCAAAAACGAAACATCCAAAGTACGTAACCTCCAAAACCACAACGTCCAAGACCACGACATACAAGGCACGCAACATCCAAAACCAACCTAACCTAACCTAACCTAACCTACCTAACCTAACCGGAACCTAACCTACTGATTTTTGCCTATCCCTAATCCAACCTAACCTAACCTAACCTAACCTAACCTACTGATTTTTGCCTACCGGGGATAAGGAAACCCAACCTAACCTAACCTAACCTAACCTAACCTAACCTACTGATTTATGCCTACCGGGGATAAGGAAACCTAACCTAACCTAACCTTGCCTAACCTAACCTAACCTAACGGTTTTGGATGTTGCGTACTTTGGATGTTGCGTACTTTGGATGTTGCGTACTTTGGATGATGCGTCCTTGAATGTTGCGTTTTTGGATGATGCGTTTTTGGACGTTGCGGTTTTGGATGTTTCGGTTTTGGACGTTGTGAATGCTCCCTATATACCCGATTTTGGACGTATTTTGGACGTTGCGTACTTTGGACGCTGCGGTTTTGGATGTTGCGTACTTTGGATGCTGCGGTTTTGGACGCTTTGATGGTCCCCCGTGTCAACAACCAATGACCTTTCTCCAGAGAGCCGTTTATTCAAACATTCGAGCTAAATTTGTAAAAACGACCTAAGCGTTCAGGTATGAATAACTTTCGAAAGATGGTCAGAGACCGACAACAATTTTCTGGATCTCTTTTATGAATCTCTGTATTTTTAAGTGTCATCTATTTGCGAATCAGTGAGTGCGTGTCTTCGAGTTAGTGTTTACCTTGTGTGTGTATTTTATGATGTGGTATGACTTCGCCTGTTAATGGGCCTTGAGCCTGTTGGCGATTTATTTGAATAAATAAATAAATAAATAAATAAATAAACAATAGTTAGGTATAGGCATTGGAACATTTTTTATTGATGAAGCGCTTCGAAAGATGTACGTACCTATGTTCTTTTTATTTGGAAAAAGGTCGAGGGCAGCTTCAATCTCAACTGAACTTAAATGAACTTGACACATGAACTGACATTTGTGCTTATGTAATCGCAGGCGCTGATCTAGAATCCTTATCTATTATGGTTGGGAGCTGAAAATAATATGACGACTGACGAAAAATGTGTTAATTATCCTTATAATAACGTCTAAGATCTACATTACCAACCTGTCTAGTGTCTATGCACGAGTAGTTATATACTCTATTCACGGCCAAATTATCATTATCCAACGCATAGGCGTCGGAACGGGGAGGACACCGGGGCACCGTGCCCCACTTTGATTTTGGCATTTTAACATTATAGCCCTATGGGCGTTGCATGGAAAGAATGGGACTAAAAGTCGGCAGTGCCCCCCCCCCCCTTAATTGAAGGTGATCCGCCGCTACTGATCCAACGTCTATGATATCGCAGCACATCAAATCTGCGACATCGCAGCTGGTCTCCCAAAGCCTCGGATGCTCTGCACTTTGAGCCGCACTTGCAATGAGGCTGTAGGGTCATGAGAGCTGTCAGAGATTATTCATACCACGGTGGGGGCCTAACGGTCCGTCTGGACTTACGCCTACTACCCTGCCGACCCTCCACTACCGCCTCCCCCTTCCCGATGCTCATCTCGGCGCGTTCCGGGAACGTGTCGTCGTTCCCGGCGCGGCTCTGCGCCGCGGGTCCGCCCGCCCGCCCGGCGCCGGCGGCGGCGTGTCCCGGTCAGAGCCGGAGGGCGGATCCCGGGGCGGCTGCGGCCCAGACGGGACACGCGGCACGCGCCCACGGCGTGACGGGAAGTGACGGCGCGCCGCCGACCGCAGAATGGACCGTCACATGCGCAGCGGGCCAGCGCTGACCGGCTTCGTCAACATGACCCGGCCGTACTCTGCACATGGCACGCGGGCACATCCGCCCTAGTGTTGTGCATTACACCCACGGTCGGCCCACGTGGGCCCCGCCTATAAATAGGGCCAATGCGCCTAATCACCGCAACGGTACCGCGGTACCGGAAACATTTTAGATCAGATTTACTTCAGGGATTCGTTCCACCGCCATTTTTTTCTTCCCAAAGCCCGAAACAGACCCTTTCGAGTTTCGAATGTCGGAAAGGCGCATGGCGCATGAGAGAGCCTATGAAAATACATCCACTATCGCCCGCATCTATTGGACGCACTGATAGTAACTTGATGCGAGCGTCAGCTATTCTATTTAAATTGGCTCTCGCATTCGAATTTCCTGACTGCCGAAAGAGTCTGTTTCAGGTATTCTGTAAACTGTAAGATGTGCCGTGTGCAAAGAAAATCAATTGAGTATAATTGAAACTACAGTCTACAGATCCGCTCCCCTCCAGTGCAAGTATCAATGTGAGGAGTTTATTTATCCTACTTGAGACGCACTGACTCGCTCGCTTTACGCATTAGGTGCCCTCCGTTATCGGGAGGTGGCGCGCTCGAATTTCGATACCGTTCACAATGTAATGCGGTGCCGCCTACCACTAAAGCAGGCTCAACCGAGTCATGGTGATGATGATGATGATGATGATGATGATGATTATTATTATTATTGTATTTTCATTATTTGTTTAGTTATTTACTATTATTATTTTTGCCCAATAAGTTTTAGCGCGGCCTTTGAGTGGGATGAGATGCGCTGTGCCGGTGTAGATCAGGAAATCGCCGCACCAGTTCGGTGACCAGTATAGGTAATTACTTTTGATTCGGTCAAGAGAGCGTTATGTTACAGGCCACTGTGCATCTATTGGCAGGCGGCTCATCGGCTTGCGCACCGAATGCAGTAAATGTATTCATCGACAGTCGCAGAGAATGTAGCAGGGAGAGGGAATGCAGGCACTGGATGATAATAGACGCTTTTACCGGAAGTTCGAGGATATGATACCTTACGCAGGAAATGGCCGACGAATGTGTCGCGTCTTATTCATGATGACCTCGACGCTGTCTTTTCAAGTCTTTGGGCTTTCAAAGAAAGCTGGGAACAATTAGGCATCGAATTACCAACATGTATGGTTGTGTCTATTCGCCCACATGTCCGAAGAAGTGGGACAAGGGCAAGTTATGACTGCAATTTGACAAAGAACCAGAGGAGGACCGCGCGCAGATGGTGGATCGAGTCAGAGCGGGGCGGCGGCTCTGTAGCGTGGCTGTGCAGTGTGCACTGAGGCATGCCGGCGGCGGAGGTCCCGGCACCGCCCACCGCAGACGTATTCCGCTGCGCAGCGCGCCGGCCGGCCGGCCCGGGTCACAGGGACCGGCCGGCGCGCAGAACACTTTACGACGGTCACACTATACGGCGGCGAGCCGTCAGCGAAAAAAACGGGAGGGAGCGGCGCTTTTTCGGTGTGGCAGTTCTTTATAAAGAGCACTCTTAGCTAACATTATCTGTGGAAAACTGTAGTACTGTACAAAAAGTAAACGATTGATTATGCTTAACATGGGTCGATCAGGTTGATCAACGTCTACGGACAGTGGCAAAGCTTTATACCTAAGCTGAAGCCAGAGGGCGCTTTATGGAAAATGAGCCTTGTAAGCGGATGTTCCCATAAAATAAATCAGTAGACAGCTAGAATGTATGAGGCATGGCCATCCGACATGGATCGAAGCATTATCCGCATTCAAATTGACAATACCAAAAAAAGTTATCGGGCCTTGCCCCAGGCCAATTAACTGACATGGCCTCGAACAGTTTTGTCGTCTGTTAAGTGAATAAATAGGCATCTTAACAC